CGACGTGAGTCCAGATTTGGGTGACAGATGGGTCGACGTGAGAGTCCAGATTTGGGTGAGGTATAGGTCGACGTGAGAGTCCAGATTTGGGTGACATATGGGTCGACGTGAGAGTCCAAACTTGGGTGATATATGAGTCGACGTGAGAGTCCAGATTTGGGTGATGGATGGGTCGACGTCAGAGTCCAGATCTGGGTGACATATGGGTCGACGTGAGGGTCCAGACTTGGGTGAGGTATAGGTCGACGTGAGAGTCCAGATTTGGGTGATGGATGGGTCGACGTCAGAGTCCAGATCTGGGTGAGATATGGGTCGACATGAGAGTCCAGATTAAAGGTGGAAAAATATTCCCGCCTCGAAAGATATTCAAACAGACATTTATTTTGAAAAGTTTATAGATTTTGTGCAATTTTTGTTGCTTTCCAGCACACACTGTTGTATAATAGTATTCTCAAAATGTTTTTACAGTTAGTTGTGTATCCTTTACAGGACGTTGCAGAACCAATCCCAGCATGTCTTGGCTGTTGTGGTTTTTCTCGGCAAATATATTTGTCCAGTAGTTTGCCACTGCTTTCTTAATGGTCAGCTCTCGATGCCACTGTCAAAACCAACGCAAAGGGGTGGGTGGGGGGGGGGGGGAGAAAGCCATGCGGCTGGGATCGATCCTGGCACCCCCATGCTAGTGAAGTGCATTTGCAATGCCTAAGCCACGGACACAGACTGTTCTTTACAGGAAATAGTTAAAACTCTTTTTTTTTTATTTTAAAATCTGTATTAGTACTATAATGCTTTACTAATGTCTATATACATTCTTTCCTATGAAATATTCAGTTTGTAATACTCTTTCTTTAAGCATCATACAAACTGTTGAACAAGTAAACTGTTTTAAGTTTATGTCTGTATAAAACTATTATTTGGGAGCTTTTTTAACTCCAATTTAAGGCAATATATTGCCTATCAGCCCCACCCCCTGGGCCTATCTTCTGTTCTTCTTCACATTTACCAGCTGTAAACTGGTGGAAAGTCCTAGCTCTCCCTTCAGTTTTTTAGAAGGTCGACAAATAAAACTGTTAGCTTATCTAAGGGGTGGGGGGTGTGTCCTCTACTTCCACAGTCCCTCAACGTTGATTAAGTGCTGACCAGTACAGGGAGATATCTATAAATTGCTTAGACAAACATACCTCCAGACTATTCAGGGATTACCTTTGACTAATCTTGCAACCTCTGTGCCTTGTTGCCTGACTTGAGTTTGCATGCTAATCTGTTTACAGTCTAGTTTATTTGTGTGTGCAGCTCCTCAACTTTGAGCACTCCAACTTTGCAGGAAACATCAGTCCAAAGTTAGCCCAGTTCCCAGGAGAGAACCCATTTCTAAGACAACCGCGGTAGACAGGTCTTGCCAGCAAGAGCCATAGTCTTAGTGCACCAACACTTGTCAATTAAGCATCTCTGCATCGGCATCCCCTTGTGCCCAAAAACCTGCTTTATGTAAAGACTTAATCTGCTGAACTGTCAGTGTCACAAGCCAAGTCATTTCTCCAGAACACATTATTTAACAATCCCTTGGTCCATTCTAATCTTCTAAACGCTTCAATTTGTCCTATCATCTTCTAACTTGGTGTACAAATATCCCTCAAGGCCTGGCAACAACTGAGTGATCATTATATCAGTAGAGTTAGTCCTAGGTAGTCATCAGCTATTCTGAAACCATTACCAGAAATGGATGATTATATCCAAGGTTGCATGATTAATCCCCTAACAACCTGGTGGCATGTTTGCCTAAGGATATTTATCAAAATCGCCCCATCTGGTCAACATTAAGTCAAGGTTGAGTGACCATCATAGAAGCCAAGGTCACCCCCCAAGATAAGCTAGTTTTTATTATACCTTCTAAAGAATGGTCAATCCGCCCTCTTATACTTTAGTCAGCAAAGACTTCCATGTCATCTAACAATGTTGATTGATAGTTAAGGTTAACATTCCCTTCGTTTAATGTTTAGTGCATGAGTAGGTAAAATCAAAGACAGGGTCATCATGGCAAAAGAACAAATGCATACTGATTGGTGGAAACAATGAATACAAGTCCTTTAATATTCAAAGAGAGGTTTTCTGTCACTGAATCACAGTGGGACTTTCGTTAGTGAACTTTGCTAAGTTACTGATCTTGGTTTATATTTTACTATTATTATTGTTTTAAAGGCAGTATTATTATTATTAGTACAATTGGGAGCCGCCGAGGTGTAGTGGCCAGTAGTGACTTTTTTCTTTTAAAAATGGCCTTGGCTCCCAGGTCGTCCCAGCTTTAAACAGATACAAGACAAATTCCTGCGAAGTAAAAGCGGCCGACATGATGTTGACCACATCATCAACAGTGTGCCATTGGTTTATAAAATAAAGGTCTAGCCCTATATACCCAATACACCTCAAGGTGTGGAAAAGGGTCCCTTTACTTAACTTAACTTTTATTACTGCTGACCAGTTCAAATCCATGATTCACCCAGCCTAACCAAAACTGGTTCCAGATAATTGGCTGTGCTAGTGGGATCAGTTGAAGTACTTTATTTCAAGCACTGCTATATGCCACACATACACTTATTTTGTGGGTATGAGTCATTTAGAACATTGATAACACAAGAAATAGTTATGAATACATCTACACTGTCATTAGATAACCTATATACACTGTTATAGAAAGTATACAATCTATCAAGCACACAAAGGGTACAGTGGGAAAGCAAGGTTTAAGATAAAAGACACCCACAGCTACCGAACAATGCTTGCACCAAGTGGAGACTCCAACTAATACAACAGTACAAATCGCAACATATTTACAGGATATACAGACTATAAAAATGCAGGTGCACCTATCAGCCCAACCATACACATTTACATGGGCAAGGCAGATATATCCCCCACACTTACTTAAAGAGTTAAATCAATGTAGGCTTAAAGAGTTTAATCAAAGTAAAGGTCAACAATTTCCAGAATTACATTTATTTGTGTATCAGAGTTCTGCCACTGACCCCATACAATTGAATAGTCATACTATAGAACTTATGATTTTTAAATATTAGAATCACAAAATCGGATTGCAATTTAAAGCTGGGTTTTGATGATGCTGTTGTAAATGATCCCAGGGCCCCTTAAATCCAGGGGTCAGTGGACCATCAAAAGAAAAACAAACAGTATTAGAGTACTGCAGGTGTTTAGGGCAAATAAAGAGCAGATAACGAAATCTTCTTCTTAGCGTTCCACAGCTATAAACTCCGGTAGAAAGTTCTGGTTGTTTGTCCACTCCTGGACTTAGGTCTTGATCCAGAACTTGAGTGTTGCATGCCCATCCACTTTACAGATCTGGCTTATCTGAATGTAGACTGATGGTTCCTTGCCTTACATGCAGATGCACTCCGACTGTAAAGGAAACGGCTAAAAAGTAGCCTCCAACAACATGTTTGTTAGAGAGGCAGCTAGTCTAATCTGATGAAGCCCCAGAACCCAGACTGGGAAGATAACCTATATAAGAGAACCAACCAATGGATCAGCCAACATGAGGAGGATTTTCAACTAAATGAATAAATAAATATCAATGAGTTATCAGGTTAGGTTCAGGATAAAAGAGAGATTATAAAACAGCTGCAACACAGTGGGTTCTTGGTTTTAAGAGACAATTTTATAGAACATTCTCAATCCATTTGTTTCCCATCTCAGTGTCTGTTTAGTGATTTTCTGCTAGCTTCTCAGGACCTGCTCAATATAGTGCCACCTTCTTTGTCTCAAAGCTGTAGATTGCCAACCCACCATAATGAAATGACTCAAAGTAACCGAAGATGTCATGTATCTATAAAGTTCACAGTTGAACAGATATGACAACAGATGAAATAGGCTTTGACAGATATTTTTTTTTCTTTCTTCAGGGAGTTTTGCTTAACCCCGCTAACCCTAGAAGCCGCAAAAACCAACACTTCTGGTTGGGTGTAATTTCTTGTAAACATCACTTTTTTTATTTACCTATGGTGACTTGTTATGAGACGAGTAATTAATGCTGGTGGCTGAGTTCACATCTAGGCAAACATTTAGGGTTCAGGATGTGTGTTTATTAGCTAAAATTAGCATTTACTGGTATTTTCCTGTGAACAACTTTTTAAAAAGCCAAGCTGACGTTAAATCTCCCTGTACGCCTCAGTGATAGAAATCATAGGGTTATGGCATGAGTCACCTGATACAGATTTGCTTATAAACCGGGGGAATTTTTTTAATTGAAAGCCTGTCCGTGTTTATTGATTACTTAGACAACAGTCTGTGTTTCTTGCAGTCAGCAAAAAATACCCAGTGTACGCAGTCATGTGTATGCAGATTAGTCATAAATCTCTCCTGTTCTTTTACTAAGATAACTGTCTATTCCAGTTGTTACTTTAACTGGTTCTATCTCATGGATGTTATTTTAACTCATTAGTACTCAAAGACTAACAATGTAGACCCACGATAACTGTGAATCTGAGAACAAAACTAGACTGCAAGAACAGCATGTTAAAGGGGTGAGGCCAGACAAGAGTATTATGTAGGAAATCATGTAAAAAAAATTTAAAACTAACAGAACTAGTGTAGTCAGCCGCTACATGCTGCGGGATTTACCTAGAGAGGGGATCCGAGCACTTATGGACTGAATGATTTGATGTGCAATGAGGATAACCCATCGATTAACTAACTAGACCCATGACTTCGTTAAAATATGTGTACTAGCGACTGCCAAGGACCAAAGAGTTAACAAGATACACAGAGTATACTGCCCAGGGGACGCAATCAGCATCTTCTGTGCCACATAGTAATATGCTTTACTGCGTTTCCACTGTAACTCATTTTGTCCGATTGCTGTTACTTTCACTCATTCGGTTGCAAAGGTTGTAACTTTTTAACAAAGTAGATAGACTTTGGGTTAGAATATGTTACATTAGCAACTGGCAGGAAAATAAATGGTTAAAAAGACCATACCTGGAGAATACTGTCCAGGTGACATGTTCAGAATTTTCTGAGCAAGTTTCTTGAGTAGCACATTTCTGGTTGTCACTGTGAAAGGCATATTATCCAGGCCATGTTCTGCCAGCAACTGTTTCAGGCGTGCATCGCTGTAGTTCATTTGCAAGTCATGAAGTTTCATGTGAAGCACCTTCTCCGGGTCTGTGTCAGGTGTAGCCATTAAACTAGACAGAGAAAAAACAACTGATGAACACACACACACATTCCACAAGGGAAATGAAAAGTAATGTTACAATTAGGGCTGTACCGAATATTCGCTTGGTATTCGCTTTGGGGCCCAAAAAGTCAACTTAATAACTATTCGGTATTCTGCCAAATACTTGTGGTCAGGCCGATTACAAATAGTAGCTATATTACGCTCATTTTGCATACACTGCAATGGACTGAAATAACTCTCATTAACACAATAGTTGCTGTTGTCTAAGTCTGTTGTAGCAGGGGAAACTGCGACCCGGTTGCGTGGTACAGCAGCTGGCAATGTCCTTGCCTGCTGACTTGACCGAGGCATCACAGCAGAGGTTCTCAAACTGGGTGCTTAAGCCAGGGGTGCGGCGACGAAAACCAAGAAAAGTCGGCTATAAATTGTGACATTATTAAAGAAGGCATGAAGATACTTAAAAGTTAAAATTTAAATTGTCTTTCCTTGTCATTGTCGAAAAGAGTTTTTTCCTTGTTTCATACTCAAAGTGTATCATACTGCATAAAATGCTAACCGCAGCGTGCTAAAAATTGTCTTTGTATTTATCTCAAGGTGCGACAGATCTTTAATCTGTTTTTGTGAAGGTGCAGCAAAAAAAAAAAGTAAGGTTGTGATTACATTTTGACTGCAATTTTGTTGTTCTTGTCCGCTATCTCCAGGCAATGAAGTAAAATGAAGTAAAAGTATTCTTGATTCAAGAGCAATTTCTAATGGTCTATGTGACACTGACCATAAAATAGTTGTGTTAACAGCAAAACATCTTACATTAAAGAAACACAGAAAGAAATTAACCAAAAACAAGGATCTGATCAAGATAGCAAATCTGAAACAGGAAGGAGTAAAAGAACAGTTACAACAGAAAGTAGAGACAGCATTCAAACAACTTCCACATGTAGTTGGCAATATTGAAGAAGAATGGAGTAAATATAAAAACACTATGCTTAGTATTGCAGAAGAATTAAGTGGAAAACGGAAGAGTGGAAACAGACGGGGAAATAACAAATATTCACCCTGGTGGTGCGAAGAAGTAAAAGACGCAATTAAAAAGAAAAAGGACATATAAACAGTGGATAAAATCAAAGAAAGAAGAAGATTATATAAACTATAGACTGCAAAGGAGAGAAACCAACAGGAGTGTCAAGAAAGCAAAACAAGCATCCAGGGAACGTTTCGGTGAATCATTAGCAGAAAATGAGAAAACAGCCAGCAGAAAATTTTTCAAAGTAGTTAAAAATATGCGGAAAAGAGATGAGAGCTACAACCCCACTGAAATAATTAATGATAAGACAGAAAGACCATTGATAGATCCACCCGAGATAGCAGAAAGATAGAGGGAATACGTCAATGAGCTCTTTAATCCTCTAGGAGATCATCAGGAAAGAACAACTGAAGAGCACAGAGCAACAGTGTTAGAACCACACATACTAATGGATGAAATAGAAAAAGTCATTAAGCAGTCTCCCAAATATAAAGCGCCAGGAGCTGATAGATTACCAACAGAAATAATTCAAACAGCAGGTTAAAGCAGCATCAGATGGCTCCACAGAATATTTAATGCAGCATGGGTACAACAAACTGCCCCTATTGATTGGCAACATGCAATAGTTATACCATTGTGGAAGAACAAAGGAAGCAAACGAGAATGCGGGCAATACCGAGGCATCTCTTTTTTAAGCCATGTTGGCAAAATGTATGCCAAGATAATAGAAACAAGACTGAGACCAGTAATAGAACCACAGCTGGCAGAAGAACAGATGGGATTTAGGAGAAATAGAAGCTGCACAGATGTAATCTTCACACTTAAACAGTTAATAGAAAAGAACATTGAATACAATAAGAACTTATTTGTGGCCTTCGTGGACCAGGAGAAGGCATTTGACAGAGTCGACAGACAATTATTATGGAAAGTAATGGCAAGATATGGAGTAAGCGAACACCTCATCGAAGTGTGCAAAAGTTTATAGAGGGATTGTAGAAGTGTAGTTACCAAGAAATAAATCAGGGAACATCTCATCCCTTCACAGTAACATCTGGAGTAAGACAGGGGTGGGTCTTATCACCACTGCTGTTTATCACATACATCGACAGAATATGCAAGAATGCCAAGCCCATGAATGAAAATGTTAGTAAGATCAATGAATTACTCTTTGCAGATGACCAGGCCTTGATAGCAGATACAGCCATGAAATTGCAACATCTAACATCCATGAATGAAGAATGTAAAACAAATAATACGAGAATCAACACTGAAAAGACAGAAGTAATGTCAATAGGGAAAAAGAAGACAGATCTAAACATAGCAATAGAGAACAAAGGCATTAAACAGGCATCTGAGTTTAAATATCTGGGAACTACATTTACCGAAGATGGGAAATTGGATAAAGAAATTGACATTAGATGCAGTAAAGCAAACCAAGTATTGGGACAGCTAGCCCCCCTCTTACAGCATAAGATAATCCCAATCAGCACAAAGAGACATCTTATTCAAAGCATATTTATTCCAACTCTGTGCTACCAGTGCCAGACATGGTCACTCACAACAAACCATAAAAGAAAATTAGTAACCATGGAAATGAGATGTCTGAGAAGGGCTGTAGGAGTGACCATAAGAGATAAGATCAGGAATGAGATCATAAGAGAAAAAGTCGGCACAGAACCAATTCTAAATTACATACAAAGACAGCAAGTGAAATGGTTTGCCCACTTAGAGAGAATGCCTTGTGACACCATACCATACAAAGCATACATGGAAAAAGAAGAAGGAGGTAGACCAAGAACAAGATGGAAGGATAACATCAGAGAAGCTCTACAACAGAAGAGCCAGAAACAGAACCTTATATCTCCCTTGACACCCACAGCAGTAAAAGAGGAATTGAAGAAGAAGAAGAATGAAGTAAAATAATTATTACCAATGATAATGGAAAATCACATTTCAATACCTTAGAGTTGACAGTATGTATGCCCTATTATACTGAAACGAGCTATTATATTTGCGATGGCAAATATCTACTGAATTAGCAACTGGGTGTAATCCTCTATAAATTATTAATAGAAGTGCAGTGTAGCTGAATCAGAAGTATCTGTATAGTATATGTCACTATAAGCCGCAGCTAAATAACTAAGTTTACTCAGAGATCAAAATGTTGAAGATGTAGATCGTCACAGGCCAGTGGCCCCGAACGCAGAAATACCATTAATATAGTACAATAGACTTGGAAATGATCCGCTAGGCCACTAGAGGCCAGATTTGGCCCACTGACTGCCAGTTAAATAGTCCTGCTATACATTATTATACAGCTCTCCTGATAAAGAATTTAAATATAGTAATTAGTCTCCTCTCATCTTAATACTCTGGTACCTTGCGGTGTAAACGGGGACTCCCAGGGACTCTGTTATTGTGTTACTCCTTCAGTCCGTATTTTTGCATGGTCGCCATCTTCTTCGCCTCCAACCTGTTCTGTAAATTATTTGGCTATCCTCCGTATAACAGTCACAAACAGTCATAAATTATCGAGGCGGAAAATATACCCTAACAGGGCTTCAGTCACGTGTCAATTGCGCACTTCAATCGTCTTAAAATGCGCGCTTACGGCGACTTCCACCACCGCCAAATAGCAAACTTTCTGCAACTTTAGTCACCGCCGAGAGTGTCCCCCACCGCGCTCGTGCGGCGTGGATTGAGGCTAAACTAGATGGCTAGGACTCACGAGCAGCAGCTAACGCATCTCCTGCAGCTTCCTTCATTTTATTTGCTCGTGAGTCCTAGCCATCTAGTTTAGTCCCAATTGTGGGTTACACTCTCGGCGGTGGCGAAAGTTCGCAATTCGGCGATGGCGTTATAGTCCCCAGAAGTGCGCAACTGACACGTGACTGAGGCCCTGTTAGAGTGTATTTTCCACCTCGATAATTTACGACCATTCGGAGGATAGCCAATTATTTTTTTCTGTGGTATGTTTGCTGGCATCCGCATTATGGCCAAACCATTTCATATGTTTTCTAAGAAATCCAGAGCTGTCGCTATTCGCCTCCTTCTCCCTCTAGATTTCATCATGATCATTCTTTAAAATCTGTAGTTGCTACTTATTGCAAACCAAATGAAATCATAAACAAACATACCGCCAGGTCGCAATCAGTACTCAATCTCACATACTCTTCTCATATCACAATTTCAGTCAGTCACATTTACATTACATACACCCAGTATATATATATATATATTCCAAGTAGCCCGGCTCTCTAGCGAAGTTGGTTAAACCTGACTTTCGCGGCGGCCGGGTGACGAACTCCTTGTGGTCCGGGTTCACTCCCGGGGGTAGGCAGAAAAGCCACATTTCTCCCAGATTAACGGTACCTATAATAGAATCAATGCCGAAGGGTTGCGATATCCATAATACCGAAGGGTTTACAACTCATGGTTTCTGGATACGTTGAAAAAAAAAAAAATATATATATATATATATATATATATATATATATCTATATATATATATATATATATATATATTCCAAGTCTGCTACACAGACTACTTAGATTTTTGTATAAAGTATAAAGTATAAGGTCGCAACTCTCTGATAAAATTAAAAATATATGTTGTGTAATAATAAATCTGTCATAAGCTAAATATTTTACTCCCTAAAATGGACAAACTGAGAATTGTAAAACTTTCATCAAAAACTAAAATCCAAATGTAGTCCCGGTGACAAAAAATATAAAACATGCCATCGAAACTTACATTTGTTTACCTGCCATTTTGAATCCTTCAATAGTTTGATAGGGGCATGCTCATTGGATGACCTTTCAACCGGAGGCAGACATCGGAAGTTTCGGATTTTATCTTAACCATTTTCTATGCCAATGAAAGCACATAGGGCTGAGAATTGGCTATAGAAAGAGAGATTTTAGACGTACTGTAATGAGAGTGACGTTCTGTAAAGAACTTTCTGATTAGCAATGACGTATTTTTCTCTATAAATGACGTTATTTTTCTCTCTACTATTGACATTCTTTTTTTTTACATCTTCTTCTTCTTCTTTTTCTTCTTCTTCTTTATTTTCTTCTTTTTTATATACTAGTACACAGTGACCACAGAGATGTTTGCCACACAAGTGTGCCTTGCTCTTCCTCCGCGCTTGCGGGCTCAAGCTGTTTATTTCTTTCTTCAAGCCTATAATGCCTCCCCTTCTCTCCAGTACTTTGGGAGCACCACACACAAATGTTGATACAATTTCATCTCAGTCAGCCCCTTCTTTAAAAAAAAAAAAAAATCATTATGCAACCTTCATGCGCTTCCCTCTCCACCACCCCACTCCAACTCCAAATCTTCAAACCTCTCTCTCATAAACGATTTCGGTTGCACGACAACCAATATTTGTTATTGTTACTTCGACACCAGTGAGTCATCCACTAAGGTCATTGGAGTGTCCAACACAAACCGATAACAGAAAGCAACCACCTTCACCTGTAGCGGGTCGTTATGAGGTAAGATTACACGTATGAGCCCAACTGTCCCGTTGCATTCATCTGTACTTATATTCCATCCATCCATGATTTTGAAGGGGAAAAAAATCGTATTGTTCAACCACCAAACCTGGAGTGGGAGCTTTAGGTTATAGCTGTGACTAGGTTATGTGCGCAATATAAAATGACTTAGCATTGCACGCCAACAAGTAGCTCTGAAAAGGACTCCTGCTGTGTTGAAACGATCAAAAGATACAGACCTTAATACTGTCCGACCGGCGACGAAGTCGTCTACCGACCAGCCAGCCGATGATGGTGATACTTGCTGACAACAGATGCGAGAGAGAACAGAGAGAATGGGCAGGGACCGTGTGTATGTGTGCGCGTACTTGTCTCTCTCTGTGTGTGAATGTGGCGCGCACATGCGTGTGTGTGTGTGTGTGTGTGTGTGTGTGTTATCAGACAACAGGACGAACGAACTTTACTTTCATAGGGCACAAGCTGAGCACGGTGCACATAGTCACGTCTAAATTAGGAAAAAGAGTGACTTAGCATTTTCGGTACTTGTCATCTATTTCACCCCATCTCGCCGGCTGTGAGATTTGGTACGGAATTCCAAGACAGTTCTCCATATGGTGGTATAGTATTGGGGAGAAAAAAAGAGGGGGGGGGGGTTAATTTCCTCGTCTCCCTCTTCTTTCGTTTGCCCGAAATAAATTATCTATATCTGCAATGTTGTCTCTAGTATGAACTTCACTGTGTTATGTACTTCACTTTGCGATCCCTAAAGCTCGGCTTGAACATGTATTTCTCTTAGACAGACCTCAGGCAATATAATGTAAATTGGGGATGTTTTGGGGCAGGCCCTGGGGGGTCAGACCATCATAGGGAGTGGGTTGGAAAAGTGGCGGGGGGGGGGCTTTGTGTCGACAGGGAGGGCCAATTTTTGTTGTTGTTGACAACATTGTGTATACACACACACGCGCGCGCACGCACGTACACACACACCATCTAAAATATTTATAAATTTCTAACCAGCACACATTTTTATCTGTTGTGTATCAGTTAAGTTTAAATTCATCAATGCAGTTTAAATAATGAATAATGATGTGAACAAAAAGTGATGCTGATGTTTGTCTATAGGCAGAGGAGGGTAAAATAAATGACTGCGCAAGATTGTCAAACACTCCACATACGGCCCTTACAACTACTATTACGACTACCACTGATACTGCTTTCACTTTTGAATATCCCCCAGCTTCAAGTGGTTTCAAATGGCCAGGACTTAAAGATCTGATCAACTCCCAGCAGTATTCTTCCTCGCCTGCCCTGAATGCACTAGTTTGCCAGTTTAACTTGGATGCCTACAAGAACAGAAGTACCAGGAGTATCTTAGGACTAGAACCAAATGGCTGCAAGAATTCCAGCAGTGCAGATAATGGAGTTACAGATGTTGAAATTGATGTGGAGAAAGCCATTAGTGGTTGCGGGGATGTCAGAAATGATGCTGAGTATATTGCCGACCCTGCTGGGGATCCATTTGCACCTAAAACTAAGTTTAAGTAAGTGAAACGATAAATACATGTGTTATTGTTTATAACCTTGGACTTTGTAAAGAGGGAGTGGGGGAGAGGATGGAGATTGCGGGTAATGTACGGTTTGTTTGCATTAATTTAAATCAACTACTCAAATTAATCTAAGAAAAGATTATGTTAACTTTTAGAACATTTATCACTCTAACTGTTTATGTCAGATAGACCTCTTTCCTGCACGCTGTACTGCAGATCCCATACTAATTATTACTTCATTAGAGGTGGAACTGGGTATCTGTGTTTTGCCTTACTGCATTGTCATCCAGGATGCAACTTGTGGTGGTCAGATCATCAGCTAACAGTCTAGAGGTGAAAACTGACACAAAATCTCACCGTTTAGGCCTAGTTTTGAACTTGCAATACAATTTTTTTTCTTGTGAAACTGGAACATTTTACTAGTCAGGTTAAATAAATTTAACAGTATCTTATCTCAGTCCAGTGACTGCGAAAGTGCAGTGGTTACATTTGAATCCCTTTTAACGCTGATTTTTTTATAAAGCTCCTTTTATGAGCTCCTTTAAATTGGCACAAAGAAAATCTCTATCTAGTACAGAAGGTTGATTGGTTAAGGGTATATTGACCACATGACCTGTTGACTGGGGATGGTCTATAAAATATCAGAACTGAGTTGAGTTGAGTTGATTCAAGAACTGCATTACAGCACTCGGGGTATTACTATAAGCACTCCAGCCTCATCTTCAGCAGCCAGTGCAGAGTTCCAATGCCGGTGGTGTCAGTAGCATTCTGATTATACATCTGTCCTGCCTTTCCTCTAAGAATCGAGTATTGGTCAGATCCCCTCCTCATTCCCCACTGCATCACTCTCACCAGACGGCGGTCATCCATTTGTTCACACATTGTCCCACATGGCCTTAACCATGGCTATATATAAAATATAAGAGTAGTAAAATACACCTAACTGCTTGATGTTGACTACATCACCCATCAAGGATCAAACGGTCTTAAAACTATGAGTCTGCTATCATATGCCTAATACACCACTGGTGCGAAAAAGGTCTTTAACTTTTCCGCAATATGCTCGATACGCAGAAGGCACATAAATGGAACATTGTATGCAAGTGTAAGTGGAAATGTAAAAATGTGTTTGTTGCATTATCAGAAAAGAAGGTCTCGAGAATCTTGTGACAACCAGGAAGATGGTTACATAAGAGGTAGAATGGGTTGAAATGGGATAGAATCTTGTGTGTTTTGAAAGAGAAGCCATTGAAAATGATCAATGGTAGACTTTTTGAAGAGCATAATTTACGCATGATTGTTTGAAGACAATGAACCTTGCTGTTCGGCACCATCAGTATAGGAACTCCTTGTTGGCTACTCAGGAGAAGGGACTGTCTGTGTAAGAATGTCCAGGTTGCAGTGATGTCAGTTTTTTTTAATTGGCTCATTCATTCTCTGGCATAGCTGTTGACAATCCCAGAGGCAAAAGAAATATTATTTGCACGGAAGTACAGGTCATTGTTCTAGCCCCATCCAAGTAATAAAGCCAAACCATCCAGGAATTTGTCTTTTTGTTTTGCCCTTTCTTTGTCCTATTTTTGTTTTGTCTTCAACAGACAAGCCCAGGCGACCGTGCAGCAGATTGTTGAAAATGTTTACTTCCGTGCCTTTACAGTCTTCTTGATTCTGGCAGACTTTATTCTGGTCATTATTGGCCTGGCTTTGTATCATTGTGCCAGCAGTGATGAACCATTGGAGATTATTGCTCACATCATCATTATTTATTTCATCTGTGAAATATCTGGCCGCATGTTTTACCTGGGGTATGAGTTTATTTGTCTGTTTCTTTTACATAGTTTATTATGTTAAGATAGTGGATTTCCACGTGTGGGTTCCTGGGTCCTATTGTGGGAAAAACAATACAAATAAATACACCCACTGCCTCCCCAAGCATGTCGTAGGAGTCGATTTATTGGGAGTTTTCTTTAAAGTTGGAATGCATCTGCCCCAGAGGCAAGGAAATAGCAGTCTGCATTCACATATGTCTGATCTGTAGACTGGATGTGCATGCAACACTCCAGTTCTGGAACAAAACTAGAAGACTACAGTCTGAAGATGGACGCAAAACCAAAACTTTCTGCTAGAGTTTACAGCCCATGAACTTAAAAAACAAAAAGTAAAAGAAATAATGGATTAGTAGTATTGTAGTTTAATTATGATAAACTGTTCAACCTTTCTGGGTTATAATTGTGATATAGAGAGTTTTTGTTTTTGCTTGAGCAAGTGAGCAGTGGAGAGGTACAACAAGATCATTATAGTATAAAGAGAACGGTGCAGCAGAAAGTAACCAGGGGAACTGGCTGACACTCGACACCTAGGCAAAAGGCAAGAGGGACTCAACTCAGTTTAATTCAATTGTTTCTTCCTAATATCTGATATTTATGTTTTGTCTAAATCTTGTCATTACTTTTGGCATTGTGAGTTAGATGTTTGTGTAGCAGTAACATGTAATAATGGTGCAAGTTTTTTTTACTGGTAATTAATACAGAGTGAATCTGGTTCTTTTTTGTGTGTGTGTGATTGTTTCAGATATAATGACATTGTAAGCACTGAAAAAAACTCAATTATTTCTTCAGATTTATAGTTTTATTGACTGAGCCTTGTAGTTTGTGTATGTGGAAATCTGTTAATTTAATTGCAGTCTGACAGTGTAACTTAAAAGCTGTTGGATCTTACAATGCTTGTTTGAATCCCACAGAAAAAAGTTTTTCTGGAACTGGCTTGATGTCATAGACTTGTTTGTGGTGCTCGTTTCATTCGTCGTGGATGTGGTATTCATGGTGATGTCAGAATCAAACTGCGGAAATAGTGAACGCTATGCTCAGTAAGTTGTTTGGTCATATTTTACACAATTTGTTTTATTGTTTAATCATAATTTGATAAAGTTGTAAAGCTGGCACTTATATAGGCAAGTGGTTATGTTCTCATTCTGTTTATCTGGCAAGCAGATAAATTTGACCGCAGAAACTAACAACAATTGTTCAGACTTGTGATTTTATTGTAACTTTTAAATATGTTGGTTTAAGACCAAAGTTCTATAACCCCTCTCAGAAACACTTTTAGTGTTTTGTGGTGTAAACTTTACGCCCCCGCCCCCACCCCCTCACAAATCCAGAAAAAAATCTCAAGAGAAGAAGTGAAAGGCAGACAGTGTAAAACCTGGATTGATAAGATTACAGAATAGCAAAATGCACCTTGTACATTTTGTTTGGTACATGCTTTTGTAGGGTTAAGAAATATATTCGCTGTTGCATTTATTTTTTACCACCATTATCTTTCCTTTTTGTAAAGGAAAGTTAATCGTAAACCAAGTCTTTCAAAATTCAAATTGTTAAAAGAAAGTATTTTCTTCCTATAGTACCATTTTTAGGGCGGTGTGTGACAGTGGGAGCTTAAGCTTGAGGATTTAGGGTTGAACAGTTAGTGGACTTGCCCTGAACTGTGCAGGTTAGGATGTAATGTGTCAGCCCCCGGACAGAAGAATATTAGTCACCTTACCAAGGATTCGAACCTGGGTTTTCTGCAGAGGAACCCAACATTCTAAATTCTCAGCCGAGGCTCCTTAACTCGTCATTTAAATATAAGGACGGTTGCAGACGGTTGCAGGTAGGCACAAGGTGATGCAGGCGAAGTCATATCTCAGGGTAGCTGCAGACGCAGACCACCCTCTGCATGAAGCTCTGGGTGCAGTTAAGGGTCAGCGGCTGATAAGAGGGAGGTCATGGATGGCTCAGGCAGAAGACACAATCAAACAGGTTTGCATCCTTGAGAACATTAGGCGAGGAGAGGAGTGGGTCAAAGTGCCACCTGAGCAGTCAGACTTGTGTAGAGTCATAATCAAGCTGAGCCGGGAATGCAGAGTCTGGCCAGCAGGTGCCACAGAGGTGGAAATTCAGCAATTAATTCAAGATAATGCTCGCTCAGAGGATTTGATCATTTACACAGACGGTTCAGTGTCAAGAGGCAAAAGAAGTGCTTGTGGCTTTTTAGCAAAAGTTAATGGTCGACGTTTGGTGCAGGAGAGCCTAGCATATGATACCACAACATCCAGCTTAAGAATAGAGGTGGAGGCGGTCACTGCAGCTTTCCGCTGGCTAGAGAACACGACACACACACATTGTAATTGTAACTGATTCAGAAAGCATGCTGAGGAAGATCAGAACAGGTATGCTTCGTGCAGAGGACACGAGTGAGGAGTATTGTCTGGATTTTTTTCACCGGGGACGCCGGTGTGTTGGGAAATGAACAGGCGGACAGACTGGCTGGCTCTGCACAACTTGGTGGAATACTGCTACATGATAAGGCAGACGTGGTTAGTGCCTTGTGGGAGAGCGTGTACAATGCGGAGGAGCAGATGGATCACCACAGTTTGGTGAGTTTGATGCAGTTGGGGGTGACGAGAGGTTCTGGCAGAAGCTCAAGGCTCAGATGAAAGGCAAGACGGACATTTAATCAGAAAGCTACTGGCACCATTAGTATCGGAACTCTTCGCTGGCTGCTGAAGATGGGGACGGAGCGCTTATGGGAATGCCCCGAGTGCTGTGATGTCGGTTCTTGAATCAAATTAAATCAAATCAATATAAGGATCCTGGGCTACACTTTTTTTTTAAAAATGTTTTACTTTGACAATGTTTCGTTTATTGTCAATATTTCTCTAATGTTGTAAAATAATATTCTGTGTTGTAGACTGGTTGTGATTGGCAGAGTGGTGCGAATTATAAGAGTGCTACGAATTGTGTACATAATGGTTGTGCAGCACCGGCAGGTTATCAGAGCAACCCGGCAGATGGTGTCACAAAATAAGCGGCGGTATCAGAAGGATGGCTTTGATCTAGACTTGTGCTACATTACAGGTTGGCAATTCTGAGTTAACTTGTCAGTAGAGTCATACCATTGTAAAAAATGTTTTTCCATATCTAACCTCACCTCATCTTAATCCTCTTGTATCTTGTGGTGTTAAAGTGAAGTATAATTTGTGGGAAAATGCCCCCTTGTGAGCTTTGGCTACAAGAATTCCCATCGGGAAATAGTAAAAGAATTGACTGTAGCAAAGAAGGATTGAACAGACATTGCTATCCACACTTTAAAGAACAACAAAGCACCAGGCAAAGACGAACTGCCAGCAGAACTTCTCAAAGTAGATCCCAATACAACTGCTAGCATTCTAGAAGGATGTTTGGGAAAAAGAAGTGTTGCCTGATGACTGGACTGAAGGAACAATAGTCCAAATCCCCAAAAAAGGAGACTTAACAGACTACAATAATTGGAGGGGAATTTCTCTCTTCTCAGTACCAAGCAAAATATTTTGTAAAATCATCATATTTCGGCTTGAAAAAGGAGTAGATAAATGTCTACGAGTGGAACAAGCAGGATTCAGAAAGGGCAAAGGAACAACTGAGCATATCTTTACCCTAAAATGCAATAAATTGCCGAAAAGTATATATATTAATGTTGTGGACTTTGAGAAAGCTTTTGACAGAGTTCATAGAGACAGTCTTTGGAAAATTTTACGACATTATGGAATTCCAGAAAAAATATTCAACATAATTGCTCTCTTATATAAAGACTTTTCCTGCAGTATAAAAAATTATAATACATCTTTTCTAGTAAAGACAGGTGTAAGAAGACAGGGTTGTGTTATGTCATCTCTCCTCTTCAGCCTTGTGATTGATTGGATACTAAAGAACACAGCATACAATACATTGAGAGGCATACAATGGACTCCATTCGCCATGCTTGAGGACCTTGATTTTGCAGATGATATAGCACACACATCACAGAAACATGAAATGTAACAGACTACACAGCACAGCAGAAATGGTGAGACTGAGAATAATTACAAAGAAAACTAAGATCATGACAAACAGTCCAAACAAACAACCAGTGACCATAAATAACCAAACACTTGAAAATGTTAAACATTTTACATATCTTAGCAGAATCGTATCCCTACTGGGAGAGACAGAGGAAGACATACAGTCACCCCTGAACAAAGCTAGAGCTGCTTTTGGAAGGATGAGGCATATCTGGGTATCCAACAGTTACTGCAGAGGAACAAAACTCCGAATCTACAAGAGCATCATTTTGCCAGTTCTTCTTTATGGAGCGGAATGCTGGAGAATGACCAAAAAGGATGTACACAAGCTGTCCATCTTCCACCACACATGTCTACGTAGAATTATCAAAACTTTCTGGCCAGATACAATCTCAAACACTAAACTATTTCAAGTCCCAAACCAAGAAGCTCTAGACAGTATGATAACCAAGAGAAGATGGAAATGGCTTGGCCACGTTATAAGAATGAATCCTGATATACCTGCCAAAACAGCTCTCACATGGATACCAGAGGAAAAGAAAGAAAAAGGGGTGCCCAAAAACAACTTGGAGATGAACAATGGAAAGCGACCTGAGTGCAGCATTTTTGACATGGAAAACTGCACTGAAGATTGCACAGGACAGGAAAGCATAGAAAGTCCTCTCTGAAGCCTCATGTGCCACTAGGCATAACGAGAACTGAACAGACATTGTAAGTGCAATATTCTGCAGTGGAAAAAGATATAAAGTTGCTGTGCATATATTACTGTAATAAAATGTAAAATGTAAATTATCCAGTCATAAATGGAAATAATTTTCATATGATTTAACCAAAAAATGGTTTGAATACTTCAGGTATTGTCAGAATAATCACACATGAAAACTGTCCTATGACTAACTAAAAGTAAATATAATACTGATTGAGAAAAACATGATGAAAAAGCAAACCTTTGCAAAAACTGTTTATGTCTGTTTAGCTTTTATCAAAACAAACATCAGGGATACAGAATAAGACAAAAGTTTGCCTCACCATTAGTAATAATTATTTTTATAATAGAATTATGTAATTGTAAACGATAACAAAATCGCTAGATGAAAATGTACAAAAAAGACAGGAATGCCCTAGTAATTAAGTAGAATATAATCAAGTATTTTCACACATAAATGTAAAAAGCTGAGCATTTTATATTGGGGAATGTTAGAAAGCTGCTGGATATGAAGTCCAGTTGTCAAAATTGTCAAGTTCTTATTCTAGTAAATGATTGCTATGCACACGCATGCACACACACGTGCACATACACATAGAAAAGGCAAATTGGAGGTTTGGTAAAAGGAAATACTAACATATAAAAGTAAATGTTTTATCAGTACATTAGTAAAATATAAAATGCTCCATGATTTTGATGATGGAGAAAACATGTAACCAAAAATATTGCAATGAGTATGATTATTCTTTTGGAAATGTTTTGACGTTGTACCACTAAACCACAATCAATATGCCAGTGGTTTCTTTTTCCTATTTTAAAGAATTAATGTATCTTAGATTCTCAGAGGAAGAAAGTAAGGGCGCATTATAAACATACATAAAGTATTTACAAAATATAATCTCTTGGCATGAGTTGTTAGCTGAAGCATTTCATTAGAAATGTTATTGTTTTCTAGTGCAGTAAAATTGACACTGTGTTTACTGTAAATGTTTCAATTATATTTTTGGCAACTGAATAAACAAAAAGCTTAAATCTGTTTTTCACCGTAGAAAGAGTAATAGCTATGTCCTTCCCATCAGAAGGAATGATGGCCCTCTACAGAAACCCAGTAGCTGTAAGTATAAGTTTTTTTTTGGGTCTACTTGTGTCCTGTATATGTGTTTGTCTACTTGTGTCCTGTATATGTGTTTGTCTACTTGTGTCCTGTATATGTTTTTGTCTACTTGTGTCCTGTATATGTTTTTGTCTACTTGTGTTCTGTATATGTTTTTGTCTACTTGTGTCCTGTATATGTGTTTGTCTACTTGTGTCCTGTATATGTTTTTGTCTACTTGTGTCCTGTATATGTTTTTGTCTACTTGTGTCCTGTATATGTTGTGTTTGTCTACTTGTGTCCTGTATATGTTTTTGTCTACTTGTGTCCTGTATATGTTTTTGTCTACTTGTGTCCTGTATATGTGTTTGTCTACTTGTGTCCTGTATATGTGTTTGTCTACATGTGTCCTGTATATGTGTTTGTCTACTTGTGTCCTGTATATGTGTTTGTCTACTTGTGTCCTGTATATGTTTTTGTCTACATGTGTTTGTATATGTGTTTGTCTACTTGTGTCCTGTATATGTGTTTGTCTACTTGTGTCCTGTATATGTGTTTGTCTACTTGTGTCCTGTATATGTGTTTGTCTACTTGTGTCCTGTATATGTTTTTGTCTACATGTGTTTGTATATGTGTTTGTCTACTTGTGTCCTGTATATGTGTTTGTCTACTTGTGTCCTGTATATGTTTTTGTCTACTTGTGTCCTGTATATGTGTTTGTCTACTTGTGTCCTGTATATGTGTTTGTCTACTTGTGTCCTGTATATGTGTTCGTCTACTTGTGTCCTGTATATGTTGTGTTTGTCTACTTGTGTCCTGTATATGTGTTTGTCTACTTGTGTCCTGTATATGTGTTTGTCTACTTGTGTCCTGTATATGTTTTTGTCTACTTCTGTCCTGTATATGTGTTTGTCTACTTGTGTCCTGTATATGTGTTTGTCTACTTGTGTCCTGTATATGTGTTTGTCTACTTGTGTCCTGTATATGTGTTTGTCTACTTGTGTCCTGTATATGTTTTTGTCTACTTGTGTCCTGTATATGTGTTTGTCTACTTGTGTCCTGTATATGTTGTGTTTGTCTACTTGTGTCCTGTATATGTTTTTGTCTACTTGTGTCCTGTATATGTTTTTGTCTACTTCTGTCCTGTATATGTTTTTGTCTACTTGTGTCCTGTATATGTTTTTGTCTACTTGTGTCCTGTATATGTTTTTGTCTACTTGTGTCCTGTATATGTTTTGTCTACTTGTGTCCTGTATATGTTTTTGTCTACTTCTGTCCTGTATATGTGTTTGTCTACTTGTGTCCTGTATATGTGTTTGTCTACTTGTGTCCTGTATATGTTTTTGTCTACTTGTGTCCTGTATATGTTTTTGTCTACTTGTGTTCTGTATATGTTTTTGTCTACTTGTGTCCTGTATATGTTGTGTTTGTCTACTTGTGTCCTGTATATGTGTTTGTCTACTTGTGTCCTGTATATGTTTTTGTCTACTTGTGTCCTGTATATGTTTTTGTCTACTTGTGTCCTGTATATGTGTTTGTCTACTTGTGTCCTGTATATGTGTTTGTCTACTTGTGTCCTGTATATGTTTTTGTCTACTTGTGTCCTGTATATGTGTTTGTCTACTTGTGTCCTGTATATGTGTTTGTCTACTTCTGTCCTGTATATGTTTTTGTCTACTTGTGTCCTGTATATGTTTTTGTCTACTTGTGTCCTGTATATGTTTTTGTCTACTTGTGTCCTGTATATGTGTTTGTCTACTTGTGTCCTGTATATGTTTTTGTCTACTTGTGTCCTGTATATGTTTTTGTCTACTTGTGTCCTGTATATGTGTTTGTCTACTTGTGTCCTGTATATGTGTTTGTCTACTTGTGTCCTGTATATGTGTTTGTCTACTTGTGTCCTGTATATGTTTTTGTCTACTTGTGTTCTGTATATGTTTTTGTCTACTTGTGTCCTGTATATGTTTTTGTCTACTTCTGTCCTGTATATGTTTTTGTCTACTTGTGTCCTGTATATGTTTTTGTCTACTTCTGTCCTGTATATGTTTTTGTCTACTTCTGTCCTGTATATGTTTTTGTCTACTTCTGTCCTGTATATGTTTTTGTCTACTTCTGTCCTGTATATGTTTTTGTCTACTTGTGTCCTGTATATGTTGTGTTTGTCTACTTGTGTCCTGTATATGTTGTGTTTGTCTACTTGTGTCCTGTATATGTGTTTGTCTACTTGTGTCCTGTATATGTTGTGTTTGTCTACTTGTGTCCTGTATATGTGTTTGTCTACTTGTGTCCTGTATATGTTGTGTTTGTCTACTTGTGTCCTGTATATGTGTTTGTCTACTTGTGTCCTGTATATGTGTTTGTCTACTTGTGTCCTGTATATGTGTTTGTCTACTTGTGTCCTGTATATGTGTTTGTCTACTTGTGTCCTGTATATGTATTTGTCTACTTGTGTCCTGTATATGTTTTTGTCTACTTGTGTCCTGTATATGTTTTTGTCTACTTGTGTCCTGTATATGTGTTTGTCTACTTGTGTCCTGTATATGTGTTTGTCTACTTGTGTCCTGTATATGTTTTTGTCTACTTGTGTCCTGTATATGTTTTTGTCTACTTGTGTCCTGTATATGTTTTTGTCTACTTGTGTCCTGTATATGTTTTTGTCTACTTGTGTCCTGTATATGTTTTTGTCTACTTGTGTTCTGTATATGTTTTGTCTACTTATATTGTTTTTGTCTACCTGTGCTCTGTAGATGTTTTTGTCTTCTTGTGTCCAGTCTATGTTTTTGTCTACTTGTGTCCTTTATATGTTTTTGTCTACCTGTGTCCTGAGCATGTTTTTGTCTACTTGTGTCTTGTGAATGTTTTTATCTACTTGTGCCCTGTGCATTTTGTGTCCACTTGTATCCTGTATATGTTTTTGTCTACCCTGTATCAGGTGATTGTTCACTGCCACCCACACAAATTTTGAATCATAGAATGTGATGAACCTAATTCAGTAGGTCACCCAGTTCACAAGTTACAGTTGGAGACAATAACTTAAGTTAGTCCAAACATAAATAAATCAGAATGAATATTTAATGAAATAAAAGATTGTTAGAAAATTAAAATCAATTTAGGATGCTCATATCTGACAGCCTATAAGTCTTGTAATCTAGGCTGTCACAGTTTGAGACTTTTTTTCCCCAGTTAGTTACCTTTCGTAAGTTTTAAATTCTTTCATCATACAACTGTTAACTTGTGACTTGTTGTCCATATCGACATCCTAGCACATTGGTCCGACCCATTCATGCTCTGTCATTAGAGTAACCTTTCCTGAATACTTTAATGGTAGTTCTGAACACTAGAAACAAATACGGAGCCGTGTGTGAAGTAATATGTACTGGACACACACTATCAAAGCTCACAGTGTTGTTTGGGCAAATTGGAACTTCTCAGTCAACACTCACAGTGCTGCTCGGGCCTTAAAAAGTTAAGCTAAAAATGCCATTGAAAGGGATTGGAGTCACTAGGAGAAATTATTAGGAAATCAACTGCCAGTTCTATTATCCGTTATTAATCAGCAGCTTAAGTATGAATTAGTACAGATCATTTCAATGCAAAACATGGATTATCTGTATTTCTGTATGTGTAGTAGCTAAGACAGTAGCCAGAACAAAGACAAAGGCATTTACATGGGCGCATGCATTCTCAGTAACTGATTAGACATACTCAAAGAACTCAGTTTGATGTAGAAAAAAAAAACAATTGCTGTACCTTGAGAGCAATCTAGTGTTTGATTAGTTAATTCATGTTTGTGTGCATATTATTTACTTATATAGAAATATAAAGCACACATCATTCCTTCACAGGAAGTTGCTCGCTATTTCAACACAAAACATAAAGGACATTATAGAATCTACAATTTGTGCAGTAAGTAAATGTACTAATGTCTGCTACAGTGAATTCTTTTCAGAAAATGTTTAATCAACTACATTAATTGTGTAGGATTTGATGTGTTCATACTTCTGTGTTTCTGTAACAACTTTAAATAAGAGGACTATTTATTTCTTAGAAGGGCCGAATATTTTCCTGGTCAGTGCAGGTCTGAGGTTGACCCAGCCTCATAAAAATGGTTGCCAGCTCATTTCCAGAATTGTCTATGAAAGTAAAGGAAGGGAAGCAGCCAATCACCTCATATGTCATGTTCTAGGATGTGTGCATACCTACCAGAATTGTCTGAGGGAGTAAAAGAAGGGAACTAGCCACTCAACTCATATGTCAAGTTCTAGGAGGAAGAGGAAGACCCCTCAATGGCAGTATTTGCATAAGAGCTTTACCATTATTAATTTTATTTAACAAGTACAGGCAATAATTTGTCTGTGGCAATTAACTAACTGTATTGTAAAATAGAAGGTACTTTTTTAAATCCAGTTAAAGATCATCATGACCACTTGAACAATACTACTGTATCATCATTATCATGTAACAGGTCCTTTGCAGAACATCTCTCTCCTCACAGAACATTGGAAAGCCAAACTGGTCCTTTGGCAATTTTCTCACCTCATTAACTTTCATGCTCATGGTGTCTGTGATAGCTGGTGTCAACTCTCATGCTGGTTGTGCACTACCTCTTCGAGAAGCCGTACTCTACATTGGTGTTTTCTCAGAACCATTATGGCATTTAATATACCAGAGTTCTTCTGCCAGTGGGCTGAGGAAAAGTACATAAGGACCACCAACACATTTTGCCTTATCATGTAAGGTGTTTTCTTCTTCTTCTTTTTTTTTTTTCTACTCCTGTAATGCCTTGCAGAGTCAGGACAGATCTCTGGAACCGGTCCTTCTGTTCACTTCGTATAAAGTACTTTTCTAAGTCCCTAATATTTCTGCGGTCCATCTACTGCGTGGTCAACCTCTGGTTCTGTTACCGCTGTATCTATATAACATTGCTGTCTTTGGTGCTCTGTCTGATACCCATCTTGTTATATGGCCAAACTATTTAATTTGTTTTCTACCTGTAAAGTTCAGTATTGGTTCCATGCCGACTTTCCTCTTGATATCATCGTTCCTAAGTTGATCTTTCCTTGTTACACCTAGCATAGTACATAAACATTTAATTTCTGTTGTGACTATTTTCCTTCTGTCTTCTGAAGACATTGTCCACGTTTGACATTGATAGATAGATTACGTGTAAAGGTAGTTATTCTTTTCTAGGATTGCAGTCTGTAGGATTAATAAACACATCCATGGGCAATGTAAAACAGGTACAAATCCATTCCCATTCAGTCACACAGTTTTTCTAAGCTCTGAATAGCAGCAGATGTCACATTTTCTAACAATTGTCATTTTGTGACACCAAATTTAACAAAACTATCACTGTCTACATTTGTTGTTTCTATGCTTGGTTAGCTGTCTGGTGGGCTGTGAAACAAGTTCCTGTATTTAAGCTGGCAGCGAAACAAATTCCTTTGTTCTGGCTGGGTTGCAAAACAATTTCCTCTTTTTTGGTGTGCTACAGGTGTAAAAAATGTTAAGCAACACTGTAAAATACCACTGTACAGGTTAAGGCATTAGAATACAGATGACCAGCTAATTTTCTTTCTTTGAAACTGTCTCCTGGCTATTTTATGAGGCTGATTTGATTCCTAGCCTGCTTTAAGACAATCCTACCACTTCTGGAGATGGCTGTGTGGACCACTGGGTTGGTATGCCAGTACACTAATGAGTATAGCAAAATAATGTGAATATTACATATGATATTTGTTTTGAAACATGCTGCACATGGTTTTAATTTATGGCGCATCATTTCAGTAACTACACGTTTGTTTTTGTGTGTGCATGCAATTATTCATAATTTTTTATTCACATCTTCATTGCATATAACACACTTACATGCCCTGTTTATATTGTTTCAGGTGAGAGGAGTTATAATGAATCCTTGTTTTTCAACAATGTTGTCAGAATTTATATTGATGATCACAACGTTCCAAAGCTAAGGTTTGTTTTAATGTATTTTATTGCCTTTTTATTGATCAGTGTATTTGTCTAATTGATTGTTCAACTTGGCCCAGTTCTTTTTCATTATTCTAGAATATAAAACCAGTTTTAATATGTCTTGCTACAATACAAAGCCAGTATATTTTGTTTAAACTATTTTGGATATAACGCATTAAAGTAACAATTTTCTGGATACAATTGTTATAAATAACAAGTATTTTTAAATATATGAGTTGAAAAAACTGTATAAGACATACAGCATTAAAATAATATCCTAGGATAGAATGTGTTAAAGTAAGAAAAGCTTCACATAGAATGCATTGATGTTACAGCAGTTTAGGATCAAATGTGTTGAAATAACAACTGTCTCAGATGGAGGTGCTTATTTTTACTGCACTATTTTGCTTGACTCTGGCAGTGAGATGATAGACTTTGTTGCCAATGCTCGTGAATGGATGGCAGCAGACATGGAGAATGTGATAGCCATCCACTGCAAAGGGGGCAAAGGTCGGACTGGAACGATGATCTGTATCTGGCTCATAGACAGTGGACTGTTGGAGAATGCACAGGTGACTCCTCGTTCTGTTTGAACACTTTTTCAATGTTAAGGTAATCACAGTGCTTTCTGTTTGACTACTGTTGCAGTGTTAAGGTAATCACCGTTCTTTCTGTTTTACTACTGTTGCAGTGTTAAGGTAATCACTTTTCTTTCTATTTGACTTCTGTTGCAGTGTTAAGGTAATCACAGTTCTGTCTGTTTGACTACTGTTGCAATGTTAAGGTAATGACAGTACTTTCTGTTTGACTACTGTTGCAATGTTAAAGTAATGACAGTACTTTCTGTTTGACCATGGTTACAATGTTAAGGTAATCACAGTTCTTTCTGCTTGTCTCTGTTGCAGTGTTAAGGTAATCACAGTTGCAACTTCATAGCATGGGTCATCCCTTAGTTGCTCCATTCCTGTGCAAACAACAACCACATAGAATGTCCATCACTGTTCCTTATGAAAACAGTTGGCACAGACTGCAGTCTCATCAAAGTCAATAGCATACACACACATCAAATGTGTAAGACGGCCATCAGCATTACCAATACCAACAGTCCAACGCTAAAAATGCAGTTCATCATTGATGGTTAAGTGTTAAGGCAAGGTAGTGTTGTAGCTAGGGCTGTACCGAATAGTGATTTTCACTATTCGGCCGAATACGAATAGTGGGACCAACTATTTGGCCAAATACGAATAGTGTATCATCATCATCAGGTGCCTTGCCGACTGGTGTTGGCGATTTTGCCTCGCCACAATCTGCGATCTCCTGCAGCATGTATCAGTTCGTGTGCTGACATACCTCCATGACATGCAACAAGACTGTAAAGAATCTTCTCTCGTTGTCTTTTTCTATCTCTCCTTCCACAAATCTTTCCAGTGGTCACCACATGTTCCATTTTCCCTCTTCTTATAAGATGGCCGAAAAATGATGACTGTCTCCTTCTGATGTCTGTGATTAGTTGTCTTCGGGCTCCCGCCTCTTTCAAAACATAGTGGTTGCTTTTTTTAGGCTGTCCAAGGTATTTTAAGCATTGTTCTGTAAAACCACATCTCTGAGGCCTCAAAAAATTGTTCGGCCTGGCTACCGATTGTCCAGGACTCATAGTCATATGTTAAAACTGGATGTATGTAGCAAGCAAGACAAAGATATATTGCATAAGATGTTCTTTTTTTTTTTTTAAATAAAATGAAGTTTTTGCCTGTCCTATTTTGTTTTTTATTTTAGTAATGCATCTTTCATCTGATTTTATCCATGTGCCAAATTTGCATTTAAATCATCGTTTGTTCAGGCGTTCGTTCGATGTAATTTAAATGAACCTTCATATTTTCGTTCGCAATATCTTCAATTTGATTTGGGCAATGACACCCCGAAAGAACGAAAAAATGCATGCTCTCTCTCTCTCTCTTTCTCACACACACACAAAAGCAACAAAAAAGAGCGCATTGCCTTTAAAGATATGTGCTTACTTGACGAGGCTAACAGTTAATATTGTTCAGACCATATTTTCCACTCCAAAATTTGAGCTAAAATGTAGTCACAACCTTATTTATCTGCTGCTACAGATGGAGAGTTGGTCGCATGCCGGGATAAATACAAAGCCAATTTTTAGTAAGCTGCGGTTGGCATTTCATGCAGTATGATACACTTTGAGTGTGAAAGGAGGAAAAAAAAAAACTTTTTCGACAGTGTCGAGGAAAGACAATTTAAATTTTAACTTTCAAGTTTCTTCATACCTTCTTTAACACAACAGTAGCATTGCCTAAATCTGTCGTAGCGGGAAAAACTGCGACCTGGTTGCGTGGTAACAGCGCCTGCTGACTCCTCCGAGGCATTACAGCAGATGTTCTAAAACTGGGTGCGTATGCCAGAAGTGCCGCGGGGAAAATCAAGAAAAATCGGCTATAAATTGTGACATTATTAATGAGAGAGTTAATTCAGTCCATGGCAGTGCATGCAGAAATAGCTATTAGGTCCACTATTCGGCCCCGAAGCGAATATTCGGTACAGCCCTAGTTGTAGCATATGCCCTTTGGCATGTGGTGTTAGACCGTCACATATTCTAGTCTGTAACATAGGAGATGATTAACCAGTTTCCTTCCTTGTTGCCTTTCCTTCCTAGCTAATTCCTGTACATTTCTAGAAATTATCTGGCAGCCATTAAGGTGAGGCTGGGTTGACCCCGCAGAAAACAATCTTGCCACTTCTGGAGTTGTACAACTAATTAAGCCGGGCCCAAGGAGACAGTGGTTGGCTGTTCATTCATGCATCTGAACCTTTAAGACCTGCTACTCTAAGCTACAGGGGTGTCAGGTTGTATTATGTCGCATCTGTCACTGGTGATTATGTGTGCTCTATATTACAAGATGTCACCGCTTTTAACAACTCCAGAATATTTAGAACTGGCCCCTCCCCTTCCACACCTCACAGGCTCAGCCTTTGTCCCACGAGAGACTGCAACCTATGCGCCTTGGTTGAAGTAAATTCATTTCGTACCTGAAGTCCGAGAATGACAGAATATAGGCAATCACTCAGAACAGTGAGTAAAACACAGTGTGTACGTGTCCATCCACTGACATATACATAGCAGAATATGACCTGACACCCCTGTAGCTTAAAGTAGCGGGTCTCAAAGGTTATGTTGCATGAATGAACATCCAATCACGGTCTCCCTGGGCCTGACCTCCTTAATTGAACCGTAAAGACAACCAATATGATACTGACTCTAGTTTAAACTAAACATAACACCATATCCAATACTCCTCAGTAAGTGTACTGGAATCCTACATTTTATTCACAGAATTATCTTCTAAGAGATTAGCTTACCTTTTGATAGAAGATTTAATGAATATCGTCTAATCATAAGCACATAAAGTTCTTTAGCTTTATTTTGTTCATTTAAGATACTTCACAAACATAACTAGAAAATGGTTTCTACATCACACTTGTGTGATAACTGTCATGGATGTTTTCTGCTTGTCTCATTTCACTATTCCATTCCCGTTTTAATAAAAAAAAAAAAAATTTAAGAAAACATAACTACAAAACTCAAATAAAATTATCACATTTCAGGAAAGCCTTGAATACTTTCGTGACAGAAGAACAGACCTGAGCAAAGGAAGTACTTTTCAAGGAGTAGAAACACCCAGTCAGGTCAGACATTGTAGTGAACTTCCCCGTGACTGTTATTTCATTTTCCTGTATAATCCTTTGACATCTTGTCTGTACAGCTCCTATCCCTTTTCTATCCATGCTTTATCAAATGCCGCACACTGGTAGCCATAATGTTCTACATATATGGATATTTCGACAACCAGTCGACTTCATTGTAAAGCTAACTTATTATCTGTGGTCTTTTATGTCACTGTACCTTTGTCCAAGTTTATTGGAAGCTGACAAAAGCTTTCTAGACAAAGTTTATTAATTCTTTCATAGTGAATTTTGCTATCTGTCAATTGATATTACTATTATTAGTGAACTGTTTCAGAATGTTATACATTAATCCTCGGTGGATATCTTTTTTATTTTCTTCTGCATTTGTCCTTGAAGCTATGGTTGGCACTGGTATTGTGGTTTACAGCTAGGTTGCAATATCACCTTTTGGCATAACACATCTAGTTTTAATTTTTATCAAACCTCTAATTATTCCAATTTTAAGACATGTTTGTTGGTGGGAATGGTGGTGGGGAGGGGAGGCAGTAAGTCTGCCCAATCCCACTACTCTTCTTCCACCCAAGGTACAATAAGGCAGTAGATGCCTTAACAAAAAATAAGAAAGACCTTTATAATTGAGATAACGCTTTTCTAATTCTTCTGTATGAGGCAAAACGCTGGGTAGTGAACATTAATGGAAGAAAGTGAAGGCAGTGGAGATGTTGTTTTTGAGAAGATTGTAGAGGAACTGTGGCCTGAGAGGGAAACAAATGCTAAGATACTGAGAGCTGCAGGTGTACACGCTTATTCATCAAAATTACAAGAAAACAACAAATGAAATTGGTTGGGTAGTTTCTTTATTGAGAAGTTTGTCCAGCAGATGCTTCAAAAATAATACTAATTAAAAAAACATGTAGAGAAGTTAGGAAAGGTTACCACCCCCCCCCCCCCCCCCCCCAATAAAAAATAACTGATGGCAATGGGAAGTCAGAAGTAGAACTCAATATAATAGATAAATGCAAAAGTTGTTAAATAATTATCATAATTTAAATGTCTAGGAACAATGTTCACCAGAGGTGAAATTTGGATGAAAGAATGAACAGCTGAAGCAATATAGCAAATAAGATATTTGGCCACCTAGTCACCCTACTACAACATTGGGCAGTCTTGTCCAGCACAGAGAAACATTTCATAGACAGCATATTGATCTCATCCTCTGCTACCAGTGCCAGACATGGTCATTAACATATATTCTGAAAAGAAAAGTAACAGCCACAGAAATGAGATGTTTGAGAAAGGCTGTGGCTGTTACCAAAAGAGTCAAATTTAGAGTGAGGTCCTTTGAACCAAAAGAAAAATAGAACCAATACTAGGTTACGTACACAGGCAGCAAATAAAATGAACAGCAATAACCAGAGCCTTGTATCTCTCTTGACAACTAAAGCAGTAAAAGGTGAAGGAAGAAGAAGATTTGTGCTAAAGTTATTTAACATACCAATGTGTAAGTTATGTTTCTAAAAATAATGTAGTTCTTTTGTTTTATTCCCACAGAGCCGCTATGTGGGGTACTATGAAAGGCTGAAGAATGAATTTAATGGTCAGCTGCCACCAAAGAAAGATTTAAAGTTAATGTCACTCAAAATATCTGGGATCAACAGTATGTAGAAACACTTTACATACATTTAATCATTATCATCATTGTTCCATAACTCTGTGTGTTGTTGAGTCACTTTACATACATTTAATCATTATCATCATCCCATAACACTGCGTGTTGTTGAGTCACTTTACATACATGTAATCATTATCATCATCCCATAACAATGCGTGTTGTTGAGTCACTTTACATACATTTAATCATTATCATCATCCCATAACACTGCGTGTTGTTGAGTCACTTTACATACATTTAATTAATATCATCATCCCATAACACTGCGTGTTGTTGAGTCACTTTACATACATTTAATCATTATCATCATCCCATAACACTGCGTGTTGTTGAGTCACTTTACATACATTTAATCATTATCATCATCCCATAACACTGCGTGTTGTTGAGTCACTTTACATACATTTAATCATTATCATCATCCCATAACTCTGCGTGTTGTTGAGTCACTTTACATACATTTAATCATTATCATCATCCCATAACACTGCGTGTTGTTGAGTCACTTTACACACATTAAATCATTATCATCATCCCATAAAACTGCGTGTTTTTGAGTCACTTTACATACATTGAATCATTATCATCATCCCATAACACTGCATGTTGTTGAGTCACTTTACATACATTTAATCATTATCATCATCCCATAACTCTGCGTGTTGTTGAGTCACTTTACATACATTTAATCATTATCATCATCCCATAACACTGCGTGTTGTTGAGTCACTTTACATACATTTAATCATTATCATCATCCCATAACACTGCGTGTTGTTGAGTCACTTTACATACATTTAATCATTATCATCATCCCATAACTCTGCGTGTTGTTGAGTCACTTTACAGACATTTAATCATTATCATCATCCCATAACTCTGCGTGTTGTTGAGTCACCAGTTTATGTTGACTGATCAGCTCCGTCTACTCTTGATGGTCAGATGGAGTAGACTTCATGGTTGCATGCTCCAGTCAGTCAAATTCTGTATCTATGTTATTCTTGGTCTGCCTGTTCTCTTTCCCTCTACTGATTACTGTAGTATTGTTTTTTAGAGACCATAAGATCTAATTACATGTTTGTACCATTGCATTTTCCATCCACACTGTAGTTAAAAGAGATTCATAGCAATCTGCTGGTTAATTGTACGGCAAACCTAATCATTTGTGAGGTGGTCTCTGTATGGTATGCCAAGAATTTTTCTAAAAGATCTCATTACCAGTGTTTGTATCTTCTTTTCAAGTTGATCTGCCAAGGTCCAGGTTTCGCAGCCATATGTAAACGTACTAATAACTAGAGCAGTGAGCAGTTATAGCTTAGTTTTACATAAAAGGTTTTGAGATCTCAATAATATTTGCTGTTTGGCAATGACTGATAATATCTGAGCAATCCTGGACATGATTTCTGGTCACAAAAATTTATGTTTTATAAAAGAACCACTTATAACATATCTTTTTTTAATATAACTGGTCGTGCTTGAACACATTACACAAACATATTTTTTAATGTTTATAAATAATGAATAAATGTTTTTTTTTTAAAAGCTGAACACAGGGAATAGAAAAAGATCCCCTACTTACTTTTTAATTACTTATGTACACAAGCAAACAGTTGCAGAACTTTTGTAGTCAAAACCTTTCATGGGTTGATTAAACATATTGCTTATCAATATTGCTGTACTTGATGATTACTTTACTGATGCAGGTGTTGGCAAAGGAGATGGCAGCGACCTCTTCATGGAGTTGAGACAAAGTGGTCAGCTTATCTTTACCTGCCATCTGGGTTTGCAAAGTAATTGTGAGGTAATTAGACTGTCTGTATCGTTTGTGTAGCAATTAGGAAAATAAGCATATATGTTTTTGTTTATCTTTGTGAACTGAGCATGATTCATTTCTTTTATTGATCTTTGTGCAATGAGCAACACAAATTCATGTTGATCTTTTCACATCTACCCATTATTTCTGTCAGTGTTCCTAACCTTTGGGCTATAACTTGTGCATGCTTTCTTCAGTTCTGAACTTAATTTATGATAAATTATCTCTTTTTGTATTTTTTTGGTAATTTTTTTCTCTTGGGTGTAGGAATTATTCTTTAGTATATTATACCCATATAGTGTATGGGTTTTGGGGGTTCCATTAGGGGGAAAAGCAAGAATAGACCCACTCCCTTCCCAACAAGCAGATCGAGTCAACTAATTGGGAACTTCTTTTGAAGTTGGAGTACATTTGCCTGAGAGACAAGGAACCAACAATCTGCATACACATAAGTTAGATCTGTAAAATGGATATGCATGCAACACTGAAGTTCTGGAACAAGACTAAAGTTCAGAGGTGGACGAGTAACCAGAACTTTCCAACGGAGTTTACAGCCAGTGAACACGAGGAAAAAGAAGAAGAATAAGTACATTTAAGACACTGTGCTAGACCAACTTTAGAGCAACATTTCTTCCTCTTCTTCTGTTCTCTACTCCTGGAATGCCATGCAGCATCAGGGCAAGAAGAGATCTGTGAAACGGGCCCTTGTGTTCACTTCATATAAAGTACTTTTCAGTGTCTGATATTTCTGCAGTCCATCTTCTGCGTGGTCGACCTCTGGTTCTGTTACCACTGTATCTAAATAACATTGCTGTCTTTGGTGCCCTGCCTGATGCCAATCTTGTTACATTTGATTTCTTTTCTACCTATAAAGTTTAGTATTGTTTCTGTGCAGACTTTCCTCTTGATATCATCATTCCTAAGCTGATCTTTCTTTGTTACACCTAGCATAGTACATAAACGTTTAATTTCTGTTGCGACTATTTTCCTTCTGTCTTCTGAAGACAGTGTCCATGTTTGACATTGATAGCATAGAGTTGGTAATAATATTGTGTTGAAAGGTGTTCTTTTAGTGTTCATTTTCACATGCTTGCAATTCTAAATTTGGTTTTAAAGCTTGCATGTCCATGTAATATAAAGATGAACAACCAGAATCAATGATGATGTTCAAGCTACAGACCGACTCTTTGCCTTTCTAGGTGGCTATCTCGAGGTTTGACTAAGAGTTGCATTCTGGATACCAGTCCAAATGCAAATCTCATCTACCAAGTTCAGCCTCCTAAAAAGTTATAAATAGAGCCTCCATAATTGCTACACCAAGTACTACCCTGGTGTCCTGCAGTCCTAAGTGAATGTTTGGAATATAACACCAACAATAACAGCACACGCCATTGTAATATATCCAGTACCATCAATAACTTTACAAGTCATTGGAACATGTCTAACACCAGCAATAACATCACCAGCCATTGGAATATATTTAACACCAGCAATTACATCACCAGCCGTTGTAATATATCTAACACCAACAATAACATCACCAGCCATTGTACTATATCTAATATCAGCAATAACATCACCAGCTATTATAATATATCTAATAACAGCAATAACATCACCAGCCATAAGAATATATCTAACAATAACACCACTCATTTTTACCATTATGAAACCATTGGAATATATCTAACATCAATAATAACACCACCCGTGTATACCATTATTAAACCATTGGAATATATCTAACATCAATAATAACACCACCCGTGTATACCATTATTAAACCATTGGAATAAATCTAACATCAATAATAACACAACCTGTTTATACCATTATTAAACCATTGGAATATATCTAACATCAATAATAACACCACCTGTTTCTACCATTATTAAACCACTGGAATATATCTAACATCAATAATAACACCACCTGGTTATACCTTTTGATTAGAGAAATAGAAACCAGATGTCAGAAAGCAAGTGCACTTGTATACCAGTTGTCACCATTTTTAAGACATCCAAGCATAACTATGAGTGACAGATTATTAATAGCATATTCATTCCAACATTGAGCTACCAGTGCCAAACATGGACACTATCTAAAGCCCATATATGCAAAATCACCACCTGCTAGATGAGGTGCCCGAGAAAAGCAGCCAACCTAACCATCCGAGATCGAGTGAATAATGAAACTATCAGGCAAATTGTGGGAACGACACCTTGTACTAGATTCATCGAGAAATAGCAAAGCAAGTGGTTTGGCCATCTCGTTAGAATCCAGCAAAGATCAAATACCATCATAAACACTACATCTCAGAAAATCAGCTACAAGAGCAAAAGGACGGCCGTAGAAAACATGGACCGACAACATTAAAGACACTCTACGCCTTCATGACATGACAATAGCCAGTGGCAGATAAACGTGAACTGGATCGCAAATTATTCCTCCCCACAACGCTTAGCGGCAGAAGTGGTTTATGATGACGATGAAACCACTGGAATATATCTAATACTAACTATAACACCACCGGTGTATACAAGAATTCAACCATGGCAGTATAATAATTATTATAGACATCACTTATATTCTTTTATTTCAGACGCAGAAAGATGCTGCCAGTGACACTTTAATTATCTACCCTAAAAACTGTCCCAGTGTTCAAGGGGATATCAAGATTATGTTCAAAACGCACAATGTAAGGCCATTCTGTTAAGAAAGATATTAACACTATTGCAGAAATTAGGATAGACAGTAATAATAATAAGTTCTTATTAACACTTTCACATCTCCTTCTTCACACGACTTCAGTTATCCTGTCCATATTTTAAGAAAGTAACAGTTAATTTGAAATTGATGACATTTCCCTAAATTTGTTGCTCAAAAGATGCATGTTGTAGTTAAAATAATTCTTTCTGTATATGTTTGACAATCCTACACAACATTTTAGCTGCCATTTTATCAGTTCCACATTTACATTTACCATTATTTCCCATCTTCACTTCATAAACAAGGGGTATTTCAGCTCGTTTTGCTGAGTCTGAAGATTGTTACTTGTTCACTTCAGAGAAGTTATCAATATGCCGTGTACCTCTGGTGGCCTGGATGCTCCAGTTTTCACTTGGTTGTATGAGCACTTCTCACAATCATCTTATAGTATGTTGTACACAGACAGTGGATTGAGTCATTGTGAAACTCTACTGTGCGTGCAGTTAACATCATCTTTGTCCCAGGTCATGCAGGTGTTGTTGGCAATGAAAGATTGGCCAGTTTTGCCTTAGTTGCAGATGGCCGGCCTGTGGATCTATCCAGCATTGTTAATTCCCTTAGAGAGATAGGAAAATCAGAAGATTGTGGGAGCACATCACTGCTGTGTGAAAACTGAGAGTATAGACTGGCATGAGAATATGCAAGAAGTCTTGTTAACCAGCACAGGGCTGGCACTATTATCAACCACAGGATGCTGATGTTTAAGTTGCAGGGGGATCTGAGCACCTGTTAATGTGTCTGGAGCACTGTCGAGATAACCCAGCTCATAACTCAAATCTTATAGTGGTTAGTGCACTAGCCTGCTGAGACATAGATCTGGGTCCAGTCCCTAGAAGTGGCAGCATCATTGCAGCTTTGAGGTTCACTCAGCCTCACAAGTCCACAACATTTTCAGAATTTTCTGGGAATTGTCTGGAGAGGAAAGGGAGGTTAATGCGGAAGGGGAAAAGACCACTGCACCTCATTTGTTATGGCTTAGAATGTGTGAAAGATAGCAGGTGATCTTGGAGTTGGTGGTCGCCACAGAGGCAGTGTCCAGAAAACCTCTGTTAGTCACCAGCCCACCTCCCAATGCAACAGTGATAACATTTGCCAAAAACTCTTTGTTAAAGGAGTGACGCCCATAAGCTAGGCCGACAAAAAGACAGACAATAATTCACATATTTGTGTGTGACTGAGAGTCCTATTACATCCTGCTTGATGTTTCTGTAGAAGTCGGGTGCATACGCCTGATAGGCAGGGAAACAACAGACTGCACACAAGTAAACCAGGTCTTTCAAATGAATGGATGTGCAAGCAAACCTCAAGTCCTAGAACAATGCCAAAGTCCGGACATAGACAGGCAAACCTCAAGTCCTAGAACAATGCCAAAGTTCGGACATAGACAGGCAAACAGGGTTTTTTGCTGGAGTGATTGAACCCAGTGATTGCAAACATGGTCGTCACTAAGAAGAAAAAAATACAAAATTGTGAAATACACGCAGATGGTAAAATTGGTGGGAAAGTAAATGGGCACAAGTATCTTGGAACATCATAACATCTGATTTAAGTTGCCCCTCATCAATTAGAACAAGAATCGCCCGGGCAGAAGTAGCCAGTAGCATTTTGCAAAAGATTCTCACCAACAAGAAGACATCAATTGCAATGAGAAAAAGAGTGTTAAAGTGCTATGTAGAACCTGTGTTGTTTTATGCACGTGGAACATGGACAGTAAACAGACAAGCTAAAAAATTGGCAGAGATGTTACTTCTAAGACGAATTCAGGAGATGTGATTTCTGAGATGAATGCAGAGAATATCATGGAAGGATAGAAAAACATATAAAGCAGTCCTCAACGAGACAGATGAAAGCCACAAACTTGAAACAATACAACGTAGGCAGTCAATGTTTTGTGGACATGTTATGAGAAGGAATGGACTTGGGAATCTGGTAACAGATGGAAAGAGAGCAAGAGGAAGGCAAAGAGATAAATACCTGGATGGCTTGTCCAGATGAATGGGGTGAGACAAAAACATTGAACTGATCCGTGATCCTGGTGAGATGGTGAAACATGACAACCTGGCATGACACATAATGATGATGAACACAAAACACACAATTTATTCTTTCATTCAGTTCTATCCTGTGCATTCCTTTCAGTATCATCGAAGGAATCCAGTCATGTATCTTTAGCCTCTCCCATCAATATTCATTAGAATGCCTTTAACCTTTTATAAATGTCTTGGTCTCATCAAATGTTATATCTGTATGAAGCTTAGGTTACTGTTCACTTTTCTTTGCCAGTGTGTCTGTTGCACATAATAACAACTAGTTGAACACATTTTCAGTATCTTCCACATATAGGAATATATATTGCACTGCGCGGCATCTGTGGTTTAGACACTGCGAGTCCGGCTCGTAATTCCAACGTACCGCAGTCGAAACCCACTGCTGGTTGCGTAGATTTTTGTCATGGTATGAGGCGTTGCAGGTTGACCCAGCCTAAAATGGGTATGTCCTGGGAAGTAAAGACAGCTGGCCTAATGCTTACCACATTACCCACCTAGTGCCGATTGGTCTGTAAAATATGGGTGCTCTTCCTATATGCCTGATGCACCTAAGGCGTGAAAAGGGATCTTTACTTTTTTAAAAATATATATTGCACTGAATCTTGGAGGCAGCAGAGATGTGTTTTCTAAGAAACAATATTCAGGATACCCTGGACAAACAGAGTAACTAAGGACTGAATGAAAAACATCATGAAACCAGCACAATATCTGCTGCTGTAGTAAAGAGACAAACAGTGTTTATAGGTCATGTGATGAAAAGAGAAGCATCAGAAAACAGTGTGACAACAGGACAGTATTATCATCATCCTTTTATTCTTTCATTGTGTTCTATCTCATACAATTTTGTTATCAGTATCCTGGATGGAATACAGTCCAGGCTCTTTGTCCTCTCTCATCAATGTTCATCTTACGATTACCTCTGTATCTTCTTGTTTTCCTAGTCCATAAATTTCCCATTTAAGTGCCTGTTCGGTGATTCTCCATTTGCTTCTCCTCTACATGTATGAAACACATTGCCATTTTTTTTAGAAGTGAGAGAGAGAGAAAGATAGATAGAGAGGGAAAAAAAGAGAGAAAGAGAGATTGTGCTGGCTGGTCTAAAATGGCAACATGGATGGAAATGATTAATATAACAGATACTTAACACTAAGATCTGAGATATGTTGAAAGACATGACCGCTTACAACATCTGGCAGTTTCGTAGAAACTGCTGTTTAGGGCAGACTTCTTTATCTTCCTGTCATGAATCTCTTTCAGTTTCTTTTTATATTTGCCTGACATTATTTACAGGTTCATGGTTTCCACCTCATTGTTAAAGAATGTAATATTAAATTGTAGAAGTCACATCTTTAATTGTAATAAATGTTGAAAAATTTGTTTTGTCTGCTACAGTTTTTAAAAAAATTTGTGAATTTATAAATGAATGAATGAATCAAGAACTGACATAAATGTGCTCAGCTCATTCACATATTTGCACTCTGACCCTGCTCCTCACTCAAAAAAAAGAGTCCTCACACTTATGAGCTTATGATTTATTATCTTTTCCAGTAGACTGTAATATATTTATATGTTAAAATTATTTCAACAAATATTGAGAATATCAGAGCAGAAATCATGAAATACAATACTGAATTGGGCATTACTGTGCACAGTTTCATTTGAATTTTTTGTGTATTTAATACAAAATGTTTTATCCTCAAGCATTTTTAAGTGTTATTCAGTTTAGTCACTGACAAAAATGCCTCATTTTTCAACCTTTACGTTGCAGAGTCAAATACCAATCGGATATGACAAGTGTCCATTTTACTTTTGGTTTTATACCTCTTTTGTGGAAGAGAACAGGTTTGTTCTTTGTGCAGACATCTTTGATTTTAGCACTATTAATTAATAAGTAAAAGGTAAAGGTAGTCCCAAAGCTGATACAAACATTTGGGTGGATGGTGTTTCATTTTCACATATTCTAGACCACACCATTGGAGCAGTGTCTTCCAGACAAAGCTGAGAAAGTAATCAGCTATTCACCAACACAGGACAGCAGGTACTTTATCACTGCTGGGTACCCCAATAAAACTGTGTTATACAGTTTAACCTGGTTTCTGGGATTTACTGCTTCTGAATTCAGGTCAGAATAGTGACTCTTTCAGTCAGTTGGTGTCAAATATTAAAAGCTCAGTACCTGAAAAAGAGCAAAATAATTATTTTAAAAAGTTGTAAGGTAAAAAGTAAATAAGGATGATTTTCAAGTTATTCAGCATGTTTGATATATGGTGCTAGGCCCATAGTTTTAGACCAGCTGGCACTTTGTAGAGGATGTGGTGAGTAGAATGCACTAGCTTTTTGTAGGAAAGAATCACTTCACATTTTAGACTATTTCTGTTTTACGGGAGGGGGGGGGGGAGGGGGGCTGAGTGGTCTCGAGGTATGGCATCCGCCTTGAGTGCTGGAGATCCGGGATTTAAGCCCCGGTGTAGGCTGGAATTTTGTCAGTGGTCTTGAGTAATTTCCCCTGGTCTCTGGGTAGAAAAGCCAGATGCCCATGTGTATTGTTGCACACGTAAAAAGTACCTCGTCAGTTGGAAATCGAAAAGAGTAGCCTAACCGCACTGCCCGGGGAACATTTTGAGCTACAAATCTACCCGAGAAGTATTTCAGGATCCTCAGCTGCTCTGAGATTCTTCAGACTCAGGCTTGTGTTAAAAGTAGAATGGAGCACTTATGGGTTTACACCCGTGTGCCATGATGTTGATCCGTCGACTAAAATAAACTAAACTAATCTATTTTACCAGTAGCTTTCTACACGTCAGCAATATTTTGTAAACATTTTTGTTTTAGTTATTGTAACCTTGTGACTTGGTTCATGTGTTCGATGTCATTAAGGTGT